AGCGCAACATTACAGTAACTAACAATAAATAAACCACTAACTTACGTGTTCTATTACAGCATTTATGTCATTTATTTAAACTTTATTTTACCAGGAAAATTAACTGAAAACCAGTTCTCACTGCTTTACGTGATATTTGGGAGAAATAGCAGATTATGCATCGGAACTGCATGGGATACAAACGTCTTGCCTGTAACTAAACTCTTCAGCCAATAATAATAATAATCAATCCTTTTTTGTCCCTCATGGGGAAATTCTTTTTACGCCTCCCTCAACTTGCTCTTTGTGGAGCATGCTGTCCATGAAGGGCAGCCACCTGTAGTGGCGCCCAGGGAGCTGGGGGTTAAGGGCCTTGCTGAAAGACCCACAGACATGCTGAGGCTGGGTTTGAACTGGCGACCTTGTGATTACAAGCACACAGGCTTAGCCCACTGAGCCACACGCTGCCCCCAATAAGGGCAAAGGTGTGTCATCACGGAGGTGGTTCCAGTTTGTGCAGCCAGGTGAGAGGTCGCAATGCATCTAACCGGAATGCATTGCGTCAGGATCAGAATGCATTGCTTTAAGCCAGCGCTGTAAGCAAGTCGAACGCACCCAATGACCGGACTGGGGAAACAAACTGAAACGCGGACTTAATACAGAGGACTAATGACAACAACCTGAAACAGCTGATCACATGGTGATCCCACACGAGGTTAACGAGGGGGCGTGGCACATGGAAGGAGCGGACGATCGGGGCAGGACAGGGGTAATGTTGGGATAAGATCATAGCTGTCAAGTCTCCCGTTTTGGCCGGGAAACTACCGTATTTTACCCCTCTTTCCCGCCGTCCTCCCATATTATTATTTTCCCGTAAATCGCCCGTATTATAATATCATTAAAAAAAATTCCTCTGCCACTCCAAACTGAACTGCCAGTAGCCTCGAGAAAACTGCCACCTGCATTAACCAGGTCATAAATGCGGAGGTTAAAATGGCAATGCTGTGTGCCAAAAACAACGTTACTTTCACCTTCTGTGACGACTTCAGCAAGGATACAAAGTCTGCAACAAATCTGTATAATAAGTCATTAGTGAATGCCAGAGTACCACATTAGTGAACATGAGAAATGACAAGTGGTTATTTTAGATTTATTGTACACCTGTCTTAAAATGTAAGGGATACTGGAGCTTGGTTGGGGTGGTGGGATGGCTCGCGGTGGGTGCCGGAAAATTTCCCTTATTTTCAAATCCAAAACTTGACAGGTATGAGAGATGGTGACTTTAAATCTTAAGCTGTTAGAAGATTGTTATGATCTACTTTGGAAATTAAAACTGAGTTTAAGTGAAACTGATAAGTTTTGTGACAAATGTATGTCAATATGTATTGCCAAAATTTTGACAAACTAACATGATAAGTGGCTGTTCATCCACTTTTCCTCATTGGCCACATAAACCAGTATAATTGCAATTTTTGCATAGCAGATTAAAAAACAAGAATGAAGGAATTCATATTTTGCAGTATTGCGGAATATTAAAAATCCTAGTGTTAAACAGGCTATGAACAATAATTAATTCAACAGAATAAATTAATTAGGATTAATTAGGACAGAATCAATGATGTTGGTTATTAGTTTTGGACATGTCCAAGCTAGAGCATTACATATATAGAATATTGTTGAGAAATACCTTTAATCACAATTATTGATCTTGTAAATAAAGTAATCAATGGTTTTGAGACTCAGTGGCTGTTAGTTTATGTCCAAGAAATTTCTTGTATTTGCTGCTTCTTTGCTGTTTTTTATCCATAGCGAATTGCATCAGTATTGTTGGTTATATCTGAGTAATGCTGGCTGTATGTCATATAACAGATCTTATACACCTGTTTCTCAGTTAATATTCATATGTGTGTGACATGTGTTGTGTTGCCATTTCCAAAAAGGAATGACGAAACAATAAAAATTCCATCCATATTTTTAGTATTTATCACATTTATATACTTACCATGAAATGTATTTTTTCCCATTGGATTTTTCTATGGATTGCTCGAGTAAAATAATCTATGTATTTGTACTCATATCATGATGTTTTTAATTGTCTACTCTTTAAGAAAAGAGCTGTATTATGCGTGCGTAATTGCTACTACACCTTTTGGGGCAGAATCTTGTCTCTGATTGGTTTTGGAGCCTTTCCATCAAGAGTTTCCGTTACTTTTTGATCACGCTTGTTTCGAGGCGGGTTGTACCAAAAGTTTTGAACAAAGGGGATTTATTTTAAAAAGTATAATACCAATGATATAAATTTAAAAACCAGGTACCGCATCCTGTTACGAAATGTCTTTCATAAGCTATTTATTACTACCTAATATTAAATATTGATTCTTGGGAATCAAATAGATAAAATGTAAATTATAAAAACACCACCTCTACCTTCGTTTTAAGATCTGTTTTTTGGTCGATGGCGTCGTAAACCAGTTTATAGAGCTAATGTTTAGGCGACCGGTAACTGTATGTATCAGTGAAAGTAAATAAGGGGACTCCAGCAATATTAACAAAGCTGAGAAAGTTGCGTGTTTCTGGGTAGAGAAAAATAAAGAGGAAAAAAAGAAATTAACGAGAATGTTAGTAGGAATTGACTGCTGGACATATATACATTTCCGCCCGCGATATGTTTAGTTACACGAATTATTGGGTTTTTAGCTTGGTAGTTAAGCACAATAAAAGTGACCCTAGCATATGGTGAACGTCCTGTGCCTTTATGACTATGCCGATGTGCTCCATTGAAAAAAACGATTTCAGTTTCACGCCTCGTACAGTCGCCCGGCTTGTCCTGGAGGCCGAGCAGGATCACCGCAATGGGGGACATTCGTCTAACGGGAGGTAGGCAAATATATTCATGGGATTTAAAAGTTATCCTTTAACCTTTTTACTCCGATAAGTGGTGCAGTGTTTCTAATGAAAACCGCGCGGTGGAGGAAGAGCAAAATGTAGTCGTCTTCTATGTTTTATTGAGCGCTTTGCTTTGTCAGGCGAACTCGTCGCTGTTTATCTAGAACTTAAGGATTTTTGGAGAAGTTATCTAGAAAAAATGTCGAAAAAGAAACAATATGACGTAGAGCCACACAAATTTGGAACATCCTGTTTTAAATTAATCTTAAAGTTATTTGCATATGCAGTTAGTTTTAAACACAGTGTTGTGTGCTTCACGATGATAGTAAAGCTAGCTTATACATTTAGATGTGTGCAGCTTAATTTATGTGAGCATGCACTGACTTTGTATGCTTGGCGATATTGCACCATGTACTTTGCCCTGAACCCAATTTTTGACCATACTTGTGAGAAAAGTTTGCTACTTCAAGGAACAACAGGGAACTGACCTGATTTGATGTTCATACAGGGTGGGCCAAAAGTACGTGTACAGTTTTTATTTTGCGAAGTAAAGGATCCATTTTGCAAAGTAAAGTTTTTGTTTTGTAAAGTTACAGTCTTTTACATATCATGAAGTGAATGTCTGTATCACTTATGTAAACTGTATACTTTGTATACGGGTGTCATATAACTGTATTAAAGAGATGGAAATGCAAAGAGGAAAAATATGTCGGGCTAATCAAGCATACTGTAATTGTGGAGAAGGTTGAATATGTTTTTCGAGGTGTATGCCAACACATGACATCACTTACTAGTCTGGGCTTGTGCTTGCACTTATGTCACTTAGGTAATCTAAGGGTTTGCTTTGTAATTTAGGTCTCCTGTAATGAGGAAGGCCTCACACAAAAAGCTTTGTCTGATGTCTGTAATGTTTATCATAATTATATTTATTGATCTGCAATAGACTGGCATCTTGTCAAGTGTGTGCTTGTGGCTTGTGCTCTGCATTGCCTGTAACCCTCACCAAGATAAGCGCTTGGAAGATGAATGGATATTTATTAATGTAGTTACTAGTAGACCACTGATCACACCCTCAGTGCACTTGTACATATATGTTGACATGTTTGGAGAGAAAAGTATAAACACTCATTTAAATAAAGAAATGAAGTCATTTGAAAAATTCTTCAGAATGTTGCAGATCTGTAACACATTCTAAGGCAAGTTCCTACATGACTTTTCAGCTGCCTGACAGTCTGAGAAGTTTGTGTATATGTTCCATTCAGTTTTGTTGTTTGTGCCGTGACTTATTTATTTATTTTGTACTAAGTATAATAACTACCTCTGGGCACCAGCATACATTGGAAGTAGCGGAGTGTCATAATGGTTTTAAGATAAATATTAATAGTTCTGGTTTACATTGTATTTGTTTACATTGAGTTCTTCCTCTCTATCTGGAAAGATTAATGGCTTTCAAAATGACCTGAATATGTGATACTATCATGCATGTTTTTTGGAGTTCAGTTGAACCTTGAATAATTCTTTTTCAAATAAATTGATTAATTTTTATAAAATAATGTTGATTCAAAAGTGTTTCATGGACATTTGAATTTGTGGGGACTATATTTATGATTAGGACAAATGAAATACAAAAACATCACTGCATCAGTAATTGTGTTGCTTTTTATCTCATTAAGGTTTGTAACCGAAATCAGTGGATTATAACGTTTGTTTCATTAATTCTAAATAAATGACAACAATTTTACGAATAAATACGGTTACGATTTTTTTTTTATTCTCTCCGACCTACAACCATAGAAAACCAACTGTATAAACAGTAATCTTCATATTAATCTCACTCCTCAGTAACTCCTTATTCCACCCTTTTCCCCAGCGGCAACTGTGTCAAAGCAAAGGATTTACCGGTTTTGTCACTGCATCGTAAAACGACAACAAAAAATACTAAGTGAAGGGTTTGTGCAATCACAGCCGAAATGCCCGAGGATCCCTTTAGATGGGAGCATGAGAAGCGGCATGATGTATAGCTCAAGTATCTCTCGGCAGAGAAATGCTTATTTATTGGCGTAACGGAGCGTGTGAGCAGACGCTGCCTCCTGCGAGCTCTGAGCCGTGCAGCCGCTATACTGCCATATGCACACTATTGTCATCGTGCACGTCAGCTGTGCATTCTGGAGCATTTAATGACATGTTCGAGTAAGTACCCAGAAATGTTCATAATGATCTGAATAAGGATCTGTGTGTACGTTTCACTTGAATTTTCAGATGAAGCCTTTCACAAGACGCCTTATTGTCATTACTGCTTTCTGTTTCAATTAACGACTGCGGCTATACGTGTAATAAATGTGAAAGGAACGTAGTTATTTTGTGTTTATTCGACGCGAATTGAGTCAAAATATTTTGGGAATTAGTGTAAATGACATTTGTATTTTGCAGAGCGAATTCGCGGGTTTGATACACAGCGACAGTTTTGGTGTTCCACGGAGAATGACGGTGAATTTCAATTTGTAAACGACATTTCTTCCGCTCACAAAACACCGTCAATGGTTTTGTATTTTAATAAGCTTTCGGGATGGCATTTTGCATTTTACTAATAACGCTAGTTATTACTGCTCTGGTATAGTTTTAATTTAGAACAAAACGATGGCCTGCTACTGCTGCCACCTCCTTTTGTCATAGTATGAGTAAGGGGCTTTGTGCTGATGAGCTGCTTCACCTTGGAAACCCCAGTATTCCACTGCCCTGATTTGTCACCACGACAACGTGAATCTGGTTGTCAGATTTGGAGCCCGTTTTGGCAGAACGCAAAACTGGATTGAGAAACCATGAAGAACGGTGCTGTAAAAACAGGGGAGGGGAAAATATAGAAATTGGGGAAAACTAAAAATACAGGAATAAAGCCAAAACTCTTGAAAATGTCTGACTATTTAGCTTTCATGTATAAGTAGATGATAGAATTAGAGACTAAACATTTAGGTTCTGTACTGGGTGCATCCTGTGTTCCCATTCTACACTCACCTAAAGGATTATTAGGTACATCATACTAATACGGTGTTTGACCCCCTTTCGCCTTCAGAACTGCCTTAATTCTACGTGGCATTGATTCAACAAGGTGCTGAAAGCATTCTTNAACATATTTAGGTGTAATTTTGGGGGGCCGGGAACCAATTAATTGGTTTTCCATTATTTCTTATGGGGAAAATTCGATCACAACTCGAACTTTTTAGGATTCGATCCGGAGTTCTGAACGGATTAAATTCGAGTTCTGAAGTACCACTGTAAATAGTTTTATGTAAATGATGCTCATTGCAAAGCATACAATAGACACAATGGGACTAGTGCTTCCCATTAACAGATTTTTACCTTTCAAGCCGAAGCAGGGAATGAGACATTTGTATAAACTGAAAGACTGGTGTGATTGTATCAAGGTCTTAAACCAAAATCCTAACAAGAAACATCTTTCAAGAAACATATTTCTTAATAAGAAAATAAATTGTGCATGACAGTTTTTATAAATCTTTACAGCAACTTGGAAAAAATGTCTTAACATAAAGATCATCATATAATTCTTCAAGCCAATACCAATCAAGGAATTATTTATAATATGAACAGAACCAAATATGTATTTTGGTAAGATATTTTAATTATGCAATATTTTCAAAGAAAAAATGTTATAGGTTAGCATCTTTACATCATAGTCATGCTAGCAGAAAGGATTTCTATGTCCTATGATTATTTCTTAAGAATGTTTAAACCATTTATTGTTATATTATCGATACAGTACACAGCATAAGCACATATTTATTGGTATTTTGTACATTGTTTACATATTACATGTTTTATCTTTTTTTGTTTGCATAGTTCAGGGAGTTGGTAATCACAGCAATAAAGAACTGAACTAAATTGAACTGAACTAAAACTGAATTGAACAAATACATCTAGTAGTAGACATATACTCACATGGCCATATTCTTCCTCTCCCAAAGGCCTGAAATACCAGTCCACAGTGGTCGTGGCTTCAACCTCTTCCCTTCGCTTACAAGATATACATCCCAGAAGAAAGGTTTGTCCAACTGGCGCCTCTGTCATGGAGTCCACCTCAGCACAGCCTCCCTGGCATTCTGGTACTAAGGCACATAAAGAGAATAAAGTTCTTAGTCTAAATATGCATATGAGAAAGAATAGGAATTAACATAATTAAAATGAAACTTACCGTAAAAGATATGCAGCAAGAAGCAGAGAAAGGGTAACATTTTGGAAATCATTTTGGAAATCAAGTTAATGTTTCCATTCAGTCGGTATGAAAAATCATAACGAATGTCTAAATGTACTTATTTTATGTACAGGACACTGACTACATCAATTTACCGTCTTTGTCAACTATACAGAACGGAGGAAAAACAATTCAAAAGTGAACTAACATGGGACAACTAAAGTCGTGTACACCCCTCATATGAGGCTGTATTTCAAAAGTTAAATTTAGCCCGTGTGAACGGTGGATGTAATACCTTTTTAGAAGGCAGGCCAAGATAAAAACTGAGAGGTCGAATGTTGCAACAACATGATACTAGCTGCAGAACACGATATGCTTATGAGAAACCACTTAATTTTATGCAGTGCATTTTAAGACGCGCGCGCACACACACAGGTTTGTAATTACAGTGGTACCTCGGTTCTCGAACTTAATCCATTCCGGACTCCGGATCGAAACCTAAAAAGTTCGAGTTCTGATCGAATTTTTCCCATAAGAAATAATGGAAAACCAATTAATTGGTTCCCGGCCCCCCAAAATTACACCTAAATATGTTCTTTTTTTTTTTTAGCATTTAAACACAAAATGAACAGGATAAAACAAGAGCATTTTTTTCTTAATGGTTCCAAACCGATAAAGATCTTATCCATACCTGTCAAGTTTTGGATTTGAAAATAAGGGAAATTTTCCGGCACCCACCGCGAGCCATCCCACCACCCCAACCAAGCTCCAGTATCCCTTACATTTTAAGACAGGTGTACAAGAAATCTAAAATAACCACTTGTCGTTCGCATTTTATTTTCATTACACATTTTCTTTT